TACTTCGCTTTGAATTTGGTTACTATTTTACTAAACCCGAACAAATCAAACCCGAAAATAAACCAAAATGCCCACACAAGTCCGAAAGTATGAATAAGCTGTTTAATCTGAACTATATTATAATATTGTATTCACTCGACACGATTATGAAAGTACTGAAATTTTTGGAGAATTTTTAAAAAAACGGAAAAAAATGCAGGCTGTGGGGTTCGAACCCACGCGCACTTATGTGCAGCAGAACTTAAGTCTGCCCCCTTAACCTCTCGGGCAAACCTGCGCTTTTATTTTCTCTCTGCATTTAAACTATATATAAACGTTAAATATCAATGCATGATATTGAGTTAATTCGGCCCAATGCAAACTTGATCATTGGGGTACACTAGAAGATATAGGCCCAAACAAAATATTTTCTTTTGTCACAATATGTTCAGTTTTAACTGCAGGTTTTAAATTCACAAGCGTTCATGTATAATCTCAATATATTATTTGCATTAATCTCAAGGATTTACTGAACAAAATCATAATCAAAGAAATAAAAGAAAGTCAACGAAACAGCTGCATTGTGCATTTGTGCTTGTCTTCTTCAGTGTCTACTGTTTAGAAATATTAAATGGGCCGGAGATTTATTAGTATAAGCCCAATTGAGTAATCAATCACTTAATGCAGCGCTTTCTAACGGATTTGTTCACGGCGTTAAAAAACGTATGTTAACGGAATCGTGCACGTGATTTATTGTTTCCCGTTTGGTCATGCATTCCTTCCCACTTTGCGTGGACCACTCAATGACACTCTTTTTTAGCAGTGGACCCCCACAACAGAATGGCAAAGCATTTAATCTTAAAATGACCATTATGCCCTTTCCTCATTTTTTTATGTCATCTGTTTCTTTTATTATCCATAAACATGGGAATGATACGTTGGTGAAATACATGGAAAAGCTACACGGACAAACACAATTGCCGGTACTTTCAACTTAACGAAAGGACAATAGAGAAGTCCTCGAGACAAGATCTAGCCATAAACTCACAACAAAAGTACATACTTAAAAACTACACCGATAGGACAAAAGCCAAATGAATCCCAATTAAAATCATGATAATAAGACACAAAGTGCCAACAAACCGGAACCAGGGATAGCTTCTCCAAGGAGAAGACCAAACAGACGCATACCGCTTGACTGTCTTGACCACAAACTAAGGAAGAGTGCCACTAGTCACAATCGACTAAGCAAGGGATAAACTGCCTCGATAACAAACTCTTGACCATCAAGACGACAAAGCAGAGCTTGGGATCCACAAAGGTACCGCAATGGAGACACGCCTTGAGCAAATACACACGATTCCAATTAAGACAAAACATGGAGAAGATCAAGATGCTACTAGTCAAAGGTGCCAAAGGAAAAGGCGCCAAAACCGCAATGCCCTTTCCTCATTATTTCCTTTTTCTTTATTATGTTATTTTGTGCGGAAAATGAGAATATTGTTTGTATGAAACGCCTCTTGCTTTTTCTCTACTCTTTATTCCTTTTTTATATTTTTGGTAGAAAATCTTAAAATTGTAGAATATCTTTACTTTAGTTGGTAAAAAAGACGATGGGCTAAAACAACATTAGTGTTCTTAACCAGAAACTGAAATTAGTAATGGGAGAGATAAGATTTTCCTCCTATATAGAAAAAAGAAGAAACAAATGGTCCCTAAAAAAGTGCAAGTACGATCATATATACGACAGCTTTGTTACGTGCGGTGGAACTCAATAAGATCGTGTGAAAAATCAAGTATAATGGTTTTTTTTTATTTTGAACAACAATTTACAAGTAAACTCTAAACCTTTTTTGGTTCGGAGTTATGGGAATTTATCCCACTAATTAACTCCAGTAACACCACTAACACCACTTTCAATTGACATATAAAAAAAATTGTATAGAAAAGTTGTTAAGGTTCGACATTTTGATGAATTGAGAGAAAACTAGCTAGTGAAAAAACTAAAAATGTTTTTGAGAAAGAAAACTTTGAGGAATCAGCATTCATCACTAAAATCGGACCAAGGTATGTGTCCAATTTATCACCTTTTTAGTTCATATTGAATAAAAAAGATAGCAACTTGTTAAACTAAAGAGACCTTCATATTTGATAGTACTTTTTTTTTCACTGTAATCAAATATATTACAAGATAAGAGTATTTACATCCCACTTACACATCAAGAAACAAAGACAATAAACCTGAGATACTATAAACAACGCCAAAAAATAGAGAATCAAAAACAATCAAGGATCAAAGCTTTTATGAGCACTACATAGAGATAGTACCACATTCCAAGCCAAAAAGATCACGAAGCCAATTGGGAGCACCAATGGCTATATATGATTAAAACCGATTCTCCGAAGTCACACTTTGTGCAATCTTTGCAGCACCTTGATTAGAAGATCTATCATCAACCTGCAACTTCCAAAAAAGGATATGAAGTAAGTGAGCCAAAAGCCTCTCTGAAAGAGCTTTGAAAGATGGCCAAGCTATAGGATTCAAAACAGCTCCAACAAGGCTAGCATCTTCAGAGGAAAAGGAAACTTTTGGAATGTGAAGACTTTTAATACATTCAAAAGCCCAGAGACAACTTTCAAAAGAAGCATCTTGCTTTGAGAGAATCAAAGAGAAGGATCTTCTACCATGAAGCAAGACTTGGCCAACATGATTCCTTATAACCCATGATGCACCTCCCTCTTGTTTATACTTT